GTGTCTGAGTGCTGGGGAAGCAGGATTGTAGAGTTTCTACACCCAAAGAACAGGCAATATTTTAGTTTCCATGGGGACACGTTCATATACCGTGTGTTGAGCCTGTGTCAGTCTCTGTCCGCCCACGAAGAGCCAGTAGAGAAGTGGCCTGTTCCTGCTAGAGCAGTAGCTCTATCAGCTGGGGCAGGGGGCAAGCTCCTCCAAAGCTTGGTTTTGTTTTATCTTACAAAGTTGGGTTTATTCTTTTGTTTCAGGTGATGACACTGACTCAGCTATAAAGGACTCAGAGGAAACAGCAGCACAGGAAGAAGAGGAGGAGGAAGAAGAAGAGGAAGAAGAAGAAAATATTCCGGGGTGTACCTTGTTCATCAAAAACCTCAACTTTGCTACCACGGAAGACACGCTGAAGGAGGTGAGCCATAAGGGAGGAGAGGGGACTGTGTTTTGCTTAGCACGGTCCACTCTGGTGGAGCTGGAGGGGGTTGAGGTGCGGTGGAGGGCCAGACTGAGATTCTGCCTGATGGAGTAAAGCCCCCACTCCCAGCATGGGCTAGAAGAAAGGGCTCTACTCCACTGTAGAAGGTGAGGGACAAGCTGTTCTCCACCTCTTTTGTGCTGAGGATAAGGTGTTTAAAGGAGTTACATTGCAGCCAGTATGACCTAATAGGAGATGAGGGAGCACTGGGTTGTGACGGGACTGGGAACCTCCGCTTTGGGGTTTCTGGTGTCAATTCGACAAACGTATCTGAAACAGTTTTGGTGAGGCTTAATTCCACCTCAGAACAGGTGGAGGCAGTAGGAAATCTTTGAAGACTCCTCATTTTCTGTGCTTTCTGTAATGCTTCTCCTTGGGACAAGCACTTTTGCAGCTGTGATACTGCTTTGTGTGTTAAGGCAATAAAAAAACAAATGATGGTTTTGCTGAGTTGTGCTTTTCATCTGAGCTTCTACCAACATTGAGCTGTCTGTGCTGCTTTGCCTTAGCAAAGCTCTTGGGAGAGTCTGTAGCATTTCTAAAGCCGTGTGGGATGTTAATAGCAAAGCAGGGAAAAGCAGCTGGGAGTTCCTGTCTCTGCCACTTTTTGTAGCCATGTGAAAAGCCCCATTTCATGGCCCAAAAATGCTGGTGCAATGTCAGTCCATCCGGGACCCGTGCTCCTCTGCCTTGGGACTGCGGTACTAGGATAGACCTGGTCCAGTTGAGTCTGGGGACAAATGTACATGTTCAGAGGAGGACTGGGACTTGTCCCCTCTTCTTTTTCTGCCTTCTGGCCATGGTTTTATGAAGGACTTGAATAGATGGTTTGTCACTGTAGGGCAGCCCCTGCTACCTGCAGCCCCTCCTGCATGGCTTTGGAAGGAGCTGTGTCCAAGGGGCATCACAGGAGTCACCTGCCCCTAAGGTCCTCACCTGGGCGTGAGGGCATCTTGTAACCCATAGAATTCCTCCAGAGCCGTCCCACATCTCTGCACAGTTTGAGGAGTGGTGGAGAATTTCTGGGAATGCGTATATTGATTTCTTTAGAACTGTCTGTGGGGGGTGTATATTTGTACAGAAATAATTTTATAAGAGAAGACACAGCTGCACTGGCTGCTTGTCAGGTGTGTGTTGGGGGGAGGTGGGCCTGTGAGCGTGTGCTCCTGGCTCTGGAAGAGGGCCACGTTGTCACTCGAGTTGTAAGCCTGTGACAAAGGGAACTGAATCACGTGTCCAAATTCCTTGCAGACGTTCTCCAAAGTGGGAGCTGTGAAGAGCTGCACGATATCCAAGAAGAAAGACAAAGCAGGTACTCTAGATGTTGCTGTTCAATTCCTTCCCTCGGCTGGTTGCTGAGGGCTCAGGTGTGGCATTGCTTTAGCATTCATCTGGCTGAGCATTTATATTCTCGTTGGCAAAATCCTCAATGTTTCTAGAAGTGTGCCTGTTGAAATGGCTGAAAGCAGCAACTGAACGTACCCCAGGGTTCGGTCTAGAAGATTAAACTCAATTGTGGGATTTGTGGAGACGTGGCCTTCTCTTGAGATCAGGATAGAGAAGCCAACTCCTTCAAGATGACAGAAGAGAGCGGGATGCAAGTTGAAAGGGACCGGTGCCCCACGATGATTAAACCTGCGCACGATGTGCTTTATCCACGATAATGGCTGGGATCTTCAAGGATGCCGGGCTGAGTACTGTGCTGAGCGGGCTTCGTTTGCCTTCTGCCTGCCAGCTTTGAACCCAGCAGGCTGCGGTGACGAGTGGTTCCGCCTGTTGCCTTGGCTGTACTCGCTTTCTGGGTGGTTAGACAGGGAAGAGTCTGCTTACGGCAAGCGCTGGCTCGATGGGCTGTGTCTTCTTCCCGGGTTTTAGGCTAGGGAGTTGCGCAGCTTTACGGGATTTTGCCTTAAAAGAGCTCCTCTTGCATGGGATGCTTGAAAACTGGGATCCACTGAAAGAAAAAGAAATAAAGCGAACTCATCGGTATGGCTCACGGGTCTGGCTGTGGGTGTGCTCATGACCAGACGTTTGACCCCAGACTGATCTTGTACCACCTACCAAAGTGATCTCCTTCTCTCACTGTGGGGTGATTGATCTCTGTAGCCTGCTACCATTGAGGTTTTGAAGTTGGAAACTGGCTGTTGTGGTTTTTGCATCTGGATTTTTCCTTTCCTCATGTAGCTTTAGTTATGGCTCTTGTACTGGTCAGTGTTGCCCCTCACAAGCATGGTGTGACCATGGGTGCTGCAAACCTGTGCTGCGCAGGGAGGTGGAATAGATGTCTCCTCCTTTGGCATGGAACCAACAGCTGCCCACCCAGGTTTATAGAAGTGTTTGCTCCTTTTCTACCGTGCAGACCTCCGAGGCGTTTTATCTCTCAAATGAAACTCAGGGCTTGTGCTGAGTGATAACGGGGAATGCAGCACGTGGGAGTCCAGGCTGAAACAGATCTCAAACACTCGGCTCCTTTCTAACTCGGCAGGTTAGAAATGTCTCCTCTAGGGACCAGACTGCAACCTGCATATTGCTCTTCTGCAACAAAAGTCATACCCATTTCTGAGTAGTTGGCAAATTTTCCGAATGAAGGTCTCATTTCGCTCATGGGGAAATAGCCCTGTGTATGAACAAATGTTTGTGTGTCCGTAATGGGATCGCTTACCTTGACTGGGACCAGCGATTGTTTTGTAGAACTTCATGTGTTATCTAAGGAGGTTGCACTGAAGTGATGCAAACCTAAAAAGCCCTGGTTTGCGTGCAACATTGGTCATCTCCTCGACATCAGCACCAAAACAAGCTGTTCTAGAACAGCATGTTGCTCAAAACCAGTCAGTGAGGGGATGCTCATGAGGAGTGTCAGAGTCAGGGCATGGGCAAGCTGGCCCTTTGCCTGGGCCACTAGTTTCTGTCCCCCCAAGTTTTGGCAATCAGTGCTTGCTTCTAATTTGTTTTTAAATCTTCTGCTTATTATCATCACTGTTTCCTGCTAGCTTCATGAGTCCCCTTTCTCTTCTGACAGGCACTTTGCTTTCAATGGGCTTTGGATTTGTGGAGTACAAGAAGCCAGAGAGTGCACAGAAAGCCCTGCGCCGACTCCAGGTAAGCTGAAGTGTTGTCAGTCTGGATTTCTTTCCAAAGATGGTGGGCAAAGGCTTGGATGGACTGTGAGGTTCAAAACGTAGCTGTGGCTGTCAGTGCTTGGAGTTAGGCTGTGCAGATGGAGAAGCCTCCAAAATGGGCCAGGTTTATGAGGAAAGAGGGTGTGTAAGGGGACAAGACCTCATACAGAAGAGCGTTTCCTCGTGCTGGTCCAACACGGAGGTGGCAGAAAATGTGCAATGATTAAAAGTTAATGAGTTTATTCTGCAAGGTTCCCTTTGCAGAGGTGATGGAGCCCCAGACCCCTACTTGCAGTGAGAGTGAATATTGTTTAGTCTTTAGTGCCGCAGAGTTCTGCTTTACCCTCTCTGAATCCACCATTGCTTCAGGATCTTCTAGCATCCTGCCTTCCCATCACACATGCCACAGGGTTTGGCTGCACTCCAAAGGGATAAATCGTTCCCTCTGCTGCTAGAACAACATCCAAGTGTTTGGTCCACACTACCTGGAGTAATCCTTTCCTTGGAAGATGGGAAGGAATTACTGTGTGTAATCTGTGTGTGTTCAGTAACCACAGTCCATGGGTCCCACCTTCATTAGGTGGTCATTTCACATTCCACAGCCTGGGTAGTCTTGGGGTAGACATGTGCTCTCCATCCTTTTGCAAGGCAGAATCCTGGGGAAGAGAAAAAGCAGGAAGGTGGGTGTTTTGTGGAGAGAGTGGGCAGCAGGCTCCATGGCAGTGCCTTTGCGTGTTGTGTGCCGTCAGAGGCGAGGTGCTCGTTCTCAGTGCTGAACTGTAGGAAGTTGTTTGAGGCGCAGGAAGCAAGAGACAGAAGACTTTCTTGCTGTCTTGGCTACTGATGGGCGATACCTTGAAGAGTTTGCAGTCCAGAGGGAGAGGAAACCATAACCAAAAGCAGTGAAGTGACTCGTCTTTACCAGTTTGGTGCCAGAGCTGGACAGGTAGATGAGAGATGTTGGCTGCTGCTTCAGTCAGGCTGTGTCCGACCTCATATCAGAAGCCTTGCCTCTCATCAGCAGCGTTCAACAGAGAAAAGATTTGGCAGGGAGAAGGGGAGGGGTACACGGGAAAGATCAAGATGGGAAATGCTGTACTTGTATCCTGGAAGCTGTTGTGACTTTGATTTTTCTGTTATTGTTTCTTTATTTTAACTTCTAGGGCTGCTCTGTAGATGGCCATAAGTTGGAAGTGAAAATCTCCGAGAGAGCTATCAGGTAAAGCTGTGTCTCACCTCGGTTCCATTTAAGCTGTGGTGATGCTTGGTGGGTTCTTCAGTGCTTACCCAGCATTTTCCATCATGAGGGATGTGATCAGTAGTGCTCTGACTGTTGAACGCCTCGGCCTTCGTGCCTTACTCGGGGTCACTTTGGTCAGTCTTACGTGAAAGGAAAAAAGAAATGATGAATAGCTGATGTGAAGGTCTTCTCTCACTACGTGCCGTATTCCAGTTAAAACCTCGAAGCAGCATGCAGTAGTGGGACCCCAAAAACGAGCCCAAAGTTAGAACCAGGCACTTGAGGTTTTGTCCACACTCAAGGAAAAGGCTCCTCTAAAACCTCTGCTTTGGTGACAGTTTGGTCAGCATTGCAAAATCAGCTGATAGCCCAAACGCCAGTGGGTTAAAAAAGTTCTTGACAAATATTCTCTGGGTAATTAAATCTTTTACCCTAGTTTGTCAGGGAGAACAGGAGCTTAAGAGTAGTATTCTGCTGCCAATTCTGATCAAATCAGGACAAATAAAGGGTTTTTTCTTGCTTGAAAAAAAAATTTGGATTTAACTTCTTTTGTTTGAACAGATGGTTACTTGTGGATTAATTTACTTGGAGTTCTAGTCTTGCTTTTTAGGGTTTCCTTCCTCATTTTTATTCGGCGCAGAATCTTTTAAGTGCAAAGTTGAAAATTAATCCAGATGTTTGCAGGTGAATGTTGGCACCTAAAATCTGTCTTTTAGGCGCTTTGGAAACCCTACTGGAAGAGGTATCTTGGAAATGTCAAAATTTGTTTGAAAATCTGGTTGCTGGGGACCAGAAGCAGTCCGACAGCTCCCTGTCTGCATCTCGTATTTGAATTCTTTAATAAACCATTCTCATCTGTTTTGATTTTGAAAATCTCTTCAGTACGTATCCAGCCTACAATATGGAATGCTTTACTTTATGAAATAAGGTGGTGTTTTGTATCAGGTAAATTTTTATCTTGTACAAATGCAATACAATTCTGAAGTTAAAAAGAATTAATTAATAATCTATTAAAATATTTCACTTGCGATTTTCCAAGCCAGTAAGAAAAGCAATCAAAACACATTCAGTTATTTGTTTTAATATATCAAATAGTATGTTCTCCTGGCAATTGAATGGACAAGATTTGATGTCAAAACAAAAGTTAGTGGCAAATGTGAGTCCAGGTCTGCTGCCTGACCTTGACTGAGGTTGCACTGAGCAAGCTGGAAACTTTGATTTTTCAGGTGTAGGGTTTAAATCACTTAAATATTTCATTCCTTCTGTTGTTGCCAGTAAGATGCCAGCGAGGATGTTGATGTGAGCTAGCTGCCTAATTTTTCTGCATTCCTGATTTTGAAGGAGGCAGAATGCGATGGGTGTTTTGATCCTTACCTGCCCTTTCTGTTGACTCCGTAGGCCTGCTGTGAAATCATCCCGAAAGAAACAAACCGTCAAGAAGCAGACGACTTCCAAAATCTTGGTCCGAAACATCCCGTTCCAGGCCACTGTCAGGGAAATCAGGGAACTCTTCAGGTAGGAAAAGGCTTTCTGTCGGGTCTGTGGAGTGCTCCGGGCTGGAGCTGCTATGATTTTCATATGGGATCTTGCTATTGAGTTGTAAATATTATGAGTTTTGTTTTTTTTTGTGGATATAAATGAAGCTTTTACTGGATGTAAATACAAATGGCTCAGCAGGTTATACCAGTATAGAAATTCTGCTGGTGAGACAGAGATCACAGCAGCCAGTGTTTTGGCCAGAGCCACTGGGAGCTGTCAGACATAGTGTTGGATACCTGTTTGTTTTAACTCTTGCCTGAAAGACATGTGGCCACTTTCCTGGTGCTTGGCACATCTGGCTGGGGAGGAGCACCCTGAGCCGCTGCAGACAGCTGGTGGGAAAGGTTTTAGCTGGGGCTGGCTCCCTCCTCCGTCCATCCTGTCCTCATGATGGTTGTAGCTCCTTCTCATCATGGAGGGAGTGCTTACATCCTGCTTTGTATCCTCAGCCTTTTGTGCAGCGACTCGTTAAGCCTTCTAATGCATCCTGGAGAAGAGGTGAAACTTTCTAAAATACAACATAGAGCATTTCTTCTGCTCCCAGGATGAGAATCTTTGGCTCGTTGACCCCGGCCGTGGTCCCTGCTCTGCTGCTGGCTTGCAGAAGGAATTTGGGGGAGTCAATGTCCAGCTCTGCCCGTCAGTTTTTCCCACCTGCAAAATGTGGGCGATAGCTGACATCCGCAGGGCACGGTGAAGTACTGTGTTAGGAGGTGGCTTTTCTGCCTGGATCTGTCCAAGCAAAACGCAGGCACTTTCGACTGGTCAGGGCTGTGGTGTTTCTTCCCAAAGGGACCGAGTCAAGGAATCATTTAACCCTTTGAAACCTCCCCAGACCACGCAGTGAAAACTGCCTCGTGAGGAACCACGGGGCAGTGATCTGTTGGATGTGGGAGAAACCACGTGTTCCCCTGTGCACAGTGAATTCTACCTGCTTTATTAGTGCGTGGTGTTCTCCTGGCGTGACCACAGGTGAGGACAGTGATTGCAACAGGAAAACTGTGTGTTGCACCACTGCTTTCGGGGGAGCTCTGGAGGTTTAACGGGGCGCAGACCATGACTTGGCTCTTGGATGCATGTTGGTGGAAGGGTGACTGCAGGCACAACATAAAGATCCCTCTAGAAGAGCAAAAGGTTTTTTTTCCTCGTGCTGTGCAGCTTGGATGCTTTCCCTTCAACGCTGCTCTCAGAAGCGCTGCTGAAATAGGGCAAAAACCTGGACTTCCAAATTACTGTGCTGAGTTTTCTTAGCACGTGGGGCACTGCTAATTTAAAACCCAACACTGTGTGGCTCCAGACGTGACCTTTGTAAAGCTGGAGCAAACAAAACCAGGGGGATCTATTTGCCTTCTAGGGCCCTGGGTTAAGTTCAAGGAGTTGGGAGGCTTTATGTATATCGTGAGGATAGACGAGCTCAGCAGAGATTGGGGGGGTTTTTTTGGGTGTTTTTTTTCCTCCTGTCTTGTCTAGCACCTTAGTGCTGTGGAGGGGAGGGACAGAGGAGCAGCCTGATTAATATTACAAGGAACATGCAGCTTCTAGCGTGTGCACTGTTGACAGCGTTCTCGGAGCGATGCGTGAACATCCGTTTCATTTACCTAGGATATTCAGAGATGCGGTTTTTATCCTCGAAACAAAAGCCAACGGCTTGGTGGGGGGCTCACAGTCTTCCCTCCACCCCTGCCATCCCTCCTCCCCTTCAGAGTGGCTAAAACCAGACGTGACGGAGCGCTGCTAAACACTCCATCCTCCTAGATTGCTTTTTTTTTTTCGTCGGTTTAAATCAGATGCCTTTGCTCTGGAGCTTTTAGCTCTTCCTGCATTTAGGAACCTGTCAGATTTGTATTTTGTTATTTATTTATTTGAAATTGCCAAGGATGGCTTGGCAGGGACGGCGGTGCTGCAGGGGGCACTCTTAGCCTGCCCAGGGAAGGCTGCTGGGGACCACCGTGCTGGGGACCACCGGGCATCGCGGTGCAGAGAGCCCCCCGGCCCACAGAGGTGGGAGGCTTTGCAGGGCAAGCGTCTCCTCTATTGTTTCACACGCTCAAAAGCCACTTTCCAGCCCCGTGGTTTATGTTGTCTCCCAACCTGCTTCCTTCTGGGCTTGATTATTTTTTTTTTTTTTCATGGGCATGGAGAAAAATAAATAAATAAATATACATATACACACTATATGTGTATATATTACCCCAGACAAATATGTATATTATCCAAATAGATAATTCCAAATATATATATACACATATATGTAAAGCCAAACAAATATTTCCATGTTTTGAGCTTTGTCAGGGAGCTGTGTCTGCCTTTCTGAGTGGACCCGCAGTAGGTGTCAGTGACACTGGAGCAGCAAAACAAGGGTTAAGTGTTTGGAACAGTGGGTTTGGAAAGCTGCTGTACCTGTGCTGCTCTGTACTGGCAGTTCAGGAAATCCTGCCCTGGTTGGCCATAAGCTTTTTAACATCAGTGTTTATGGATCCATCGCTTGGACCTGCCCTGCACCGCCGTTCGTGTTCTGGCAGCAGTGGAAGGTAGACTGTGGCCATCTCGCGTGTGCCCTTCCCCAGCTTCCCTTCCCCTTCCCACGCAGTTCCGAGTGATCCGTGCAAACCATGGGAAGAGGCTCTGCGCCGTCCTCCGGGCTGGACCTCGCGGTGGTTTGGAAGCGGCTGGTGACACGTGTGCTTCCCATCGCACGACCGCACGTGTCCTCTGCATCATGAGCACCAGCGGGTTTGGGGAGCCACGTTCCCCAGGAGTTTCCTCCTGCCCATCTCCGATGTCGAGGTGTGTTCCTGGGAGGAAGGGGTCCAGCCGGTCCCTTGGGAAAGATCTGCGATGGGGTGTAACATTCAAATTGATTTTTCCCCAAGCTCATGGTTTGCAGGAGATTCAAAGCAAATGCGTTTCTTTCAATTTTGGAGTTTGGGGATAACGAGTTCTGATTCTCGGGCTGGAGAAGGATGGTGCTTATTTTTCTCTGTGCAGGGTCATGAATGCTCTGGTTACCAGCTGAAGTCCTCTGCCTGCAAAATCAACGTCTCGTTGCAAAGCTCCGTGAGCCTTAGGTGCTGCCCACCTTCCACGCCGGACCCGATGGCTTTGGGCGTGCGGTGCCGGTTCGGAGCGTGTCGTGCCATCTTCTGCTGGAGGCGTCAGCCTCTCCCGCACTGTCAGGGGATTTTTTTGTATTTTTCTTTTTTTTGAGACCCGATAGGTGTTATTTTCTTCAGAGGGAGAAATGCTTTTCAATTATAGGGGCTGTTTTTGGGCTAGGTGTGAAGATTTAGCTTTTGTGGGTGTGTTTTTTCTCTCCCTCCCCCTCCCATTTTTGTTCTTTATTGGATTCTACTCTTATCTTTACTACCTGGAAAAATAACAAAAGACAAATGGTCCTTAGTTCTTTCCAAAGAGCCATAGTTAGGAGAGGAGAGACAAAGGCTTTGATATCCCATGAAGGCTGCTAATTTTTGCCACCAAATTGGGGGGCTTTTATGGCAAGATTTTTTTTTTTTTTTCAAAGGGAACTCTAGATGTGGCAAGCTGAATTGGAGATCTGTGAAAGGCCACATTTTCACAGATTGGAGCTCTGGCAATTTCTGAAAATTAGGCTCCTTTAAAATTTATCACATTAGATCCATGCAGCCTTCGTTGGAAGTTCCAATTAACTATTTGTTTCATAGCATCCTCTTCCATCCTCCTTCCCCATTTCTGCACCAACTTTCATGAATATTAAAAATAAGGCTGTTTTGCAGTTGGCATATAACATTTCAAGGAGATGTATGTTTTATTTTCCTCAAAGGGAGAACGATTACGTTTAGAAAAAGACTTCTTAAAGATTTCTACCCAATCAAATGCAACCTGAGGGACAGATACTGTAAAAATTCTGCCTAGACTTTGACGTACCTGATGCTGATAGTACTGAAGGAAGCAGTTTATTAGAGTTGCATCTCGAGTAGCGTGTTTTGGGACTGGCATTGTTTCCTCTTTTCTTTGCAAAAGGTATCTGAGAACTTATTGTTGGGGCTCTATCTGTAAATTCTCCTAAAATTGCAATGACCATCACTTCCAGCCCTCCTCCCCCAGTTAATTGTGGCAGACCCTAACCCTCAAAATTCGGTGCGAGGTCGGATGTCGGCACTGCGAGTGTGGAAGGTGTTTTAATGTCCATCTGGCCATCCCTTGCCTCCTAGCTGTAGGAGCTGAATTCAAACACGTTGTGTGAAGCTGTAAAATCATAAAATTATTATCAGCTGAGACACTGGACTTTGGTTTGACTGAAGCAGCAGCTAGCAAAAAAGCAGTTGCAAGGTGTGCTGGAGCACAGAGCAGGTCATTGGTGCATTTATCTCCGTATTCTGACTTTCCTATAAAGAAAGTAATGCTGCTGCTTGGGAAGGCCTTCGGGGATGAGTGTCTCTTTTAATTTTAACTACTTTGCTGACTATTTTCTCTGTCTTGAAAAAGACGTGGCATTTATTGCATCTGGCAAAACAAGTGCCTGGGACTGATTAGGAGAAAACAGATCTATTCCCTCTGATAGAGGGTAAAAGTGAAGACAGTCAGTGGGACAAGACTTTGGAGTCATGTCTCTTCTAGAAGAAGAAAAATCTCTGAAGAAAGATACGGTGGATAAACTGGCAGAGATTTTTTTTTTTTTTTAAAGGCAGGCTTTATGAAGTTAATTTTATAAGATGATGCCTTTCACTTCTTCTGACCTATTATAATAAAGTGTAGTTACCAGAATGGGCTTTTCATTTCCCATTATAAAGGACACGGTGGTATAATGAATCCGTCTGCCAGACATACTTGCTGTTCACACCTTTCTCCCAGTAATGGAGTCTACATGACTGGAGACAATTTCTCCTTCCCAGAGTAACGTTGCCCTGTTGAAGCCGTGGAAATCTTTGCTACCGAAAGGCAGAGGAAGAAAAAAATTAGTCCCTTCATAAACATGTGAGTTTATTAAGGAAGTG